GATTTAGGGTTTAAAGCCTGAATTCTTTTGATTACAGATTGCTTGATCTATTTTTATCATTGGTCTTTTTGGTTATTATAGAATTGATGAGGACGTATAGATGAATTTAGGTGAGTAACAGACATTTATTAAACAACACATAGCTCATCCTTAGGGGTAAATCCGTCATTTATGTTATTCAGACTGTTGATTCAGATAGAAAAGTAAACATCAACATAAATTTATGTAGACAGACAAATTTATCCATACAGGACTTAATAGAAAATTTGGTAAACAGCCCCTAATTAAGTTACACTCCCTCCCTAAATTTATCCATTTGTTAGAAAACTTGAGCTGGACGAACATGTCTTATATAACAAACCCAATCTTTTTTTACGGGCTTGAAAACTTACCACACCCGTCCTATAAACGGATCGGGCTTGCCTATGGGCTTGTTTTTTTTGTGTTTTTAAGAAAACAAAACTGATATAAAATGACAAGTTATGTAAAATAATTCAAAATACACATAAAAAATTCCAACTTAAAATTAGACATAAATATGCAACAATGTATATACTTAGGAAAAAAATCACAAAATATAGAGTATCAATAAATGAAATGACCATATGAGCTAATAAGAATTTGATCAATTGTTGTAATTATGTTTTTACTTTTTAGATTTATAAAAAGTGTTATTATCATGAGTCATAATTAAGTGATAATTAATAAGTATTAAGATTTTTCAATTTTATTCTTAAATTTTAATTAAAAAAATTAATATATATATATATATATAGAGAGAGAGAGAGAGAGAGAGTTTGTTTCAAATACAACTTATCGCATTTGTACAACCAATGCAACCCAATAAATTGAAATATTTTTGGAAATGATGAGAGTTCATTTATTATGATTTAAATATTTATGGAAAATGAATACGGTTTATTAATTATGATTAATACTTTATATTAGGAAATAATCAAAACTTCTATAAATTACATATTCATCAAATTAAATAGACGGTTGAGATTTAGTTGTATTGGTTGTACAAATGTAAGAGGTTGTATAATAACCGACCTCTATATATATATATATATATATATATATATATATATATTAAAGGAAGAACCAAGAGTATTAAGGTGGCATCATGAGAATTGAGTATTGAGGTGTTGGTGAATTGTGGTTGAGTTTGAGATATCCCACATTGGTGAAGAGTTGAAAATTTTGAACAAAATGAAGTGTATAAAAAAGGTGAATTGGATGTCTTTGTGTCAAATATGAGGTTTGGCTCATAGAGTTGTTTTTTTTTATGACCCTTTTGAAATCTATAACCATGATTGGAAACCAATCAAGCCAAATGGTATAAATTATAGTTCAAAATTAATTATATTATAGTATTATATCTTTATATATATATATATATATATATATATTAAAGGAAGAACCAAGAGTATTGAGGTGACATCATGAGAATTGAGTATTGAGATATTGGTGAATTGTGGTTGAGTTTGAGATATCCCACATTGGTGAAAAGTTGAAAATTTTGAAAAAAATGAAGTACATAAGAAAGGTAACTTGGATGCATTTGTGTCAAATATGAGGTTTGGCTCATAGAGTTGTCTTTTCTTTGGATGACCCTTTTGAAATCTATAACCATGGTTGGAAACCAATCATACCAAATGGTAGAAATTATAGTGCAAAATTAATTATATTATAGTATTATATCTTTATATATATATACTATATATATGTATATATTAAAGGAAGAACCAAGAGTATTGAGGTGACATCATGATTATTGAGTATTGAGGTGTCCCACATTAGTGAAGAGTTGAAAATTTTGAGCAAAATGAAGTGTATAAAAAAGATGAATTGGATGTCTTTGTGTCAAATATGAGGTTTGGCTCATAGAGTTGTCTTTCTTTGGATGACCTTTTTGAAATCTATAACTTGGATGGAAACCAATCAAACCAAATGGTAGAAATTATAGTGCAAAATTAATTATATTATATATATATATATATGTGTATGTATATATTAAAGGAAGAACCAAGAGTATTAAGGTGGCATCATGAGAATTGAGTATTGAGTACTTTGCAACACGATTCTCAAACATAGTTAGATAACTTAAATTAGCATATGGTTCTAAGATTGTTGTCAAATCCTCTTAAAAACTTTTAATGTACTCACATTTGTCTAAAAAAATTTAGAAGAGTACTTCAAATTTAGTCTATAACATTCATTTTGAAGATGATATTATCACTACCGCGCAACGTGCGGATAGAAAACTGGTATATATTAAAGAAGAAACCAAAGGTAATGAGGTGGCACCTTCTAATGCTTAGAACCCCTCCTATCTTTTTTCTCATTTTTTTGATTTTTTTAAATGTTGAATATGTTAAAGACTTTTTTGCCCCTGGATGAAAAATGTATAGCTCATAATTAACACGGGTTATTTTTGTAATTTTGTATACCCAAGTTTAACCTCCAACTTTTGATTTACTCTTCCATTTACTTTCTTTTATTTCTTAATGAAATTTGTTTTTTAAAGTTTCAATAATAAACAAAATGAAATCATATAAAATCCTTTAGTGAGGGATGAAGAAGGTGAGAGATGAAGAAGAATTCAAAGATTTTAAAAGGTATGTATAAATTATATTCATTAAAAAAATGTGATTTGTTATTATATATTTCTTTTTCAATGTTGTTGGATATGTTGTTATCATAGGATATGATTGTGTTTACGATTGGATCATATAAATTGTGTTTACGATTTGATCATATAAATTCGAATAAAATTTTGATATTTTATAATCACATGATATGATAAACTTTTTTCGAATTTAAGCTTCATCAACAATAACTATTTATACACAACAACTATTTATTCATCTTCATCTCTCACACCCTCTCAAATTCTATCTCTATCTTATACATCTATAAATTTATTTTCTTTTTCTTTGGTTTTTCTTCTATTTTACTATTGATAATTTTCATAGTTTCTTTTTTCACTTCTCCCATAATTTTATGTATGTTTGTATCGTTATTTAGATTGCATTATAGTTTTTATGCATTATGTCATGAAGATTTGAAGAAATCTTCAAGTTCGATATTTGATTTTTTGGTTGCAATATAAGGTAAAAAATTTATATTGATTTGTATTGATTTTTTGGTTGCAATATGTTTATATCGTGATTTTTGTTTGCATTATAACTCTTATGTATTAGGTGAAGATTTAAAATGTTCAAGTTCACCATGTAATTTTTACTTATGTTGAACGTTTTTTGGTTTGCAGGTTTTCGAAGTCTTTAACGTTTATATATCAAATCTTGAAAATTTGAACTTTTCAAGTTTGGGTTGTGGGAATTTTTTATTATGATCTAAAGTAAGGATTTTATGCAAGTTTGTTTTGTAATTTAGAGTGTATTAGAATGTTATGTATGTTTGTATCATGATTTTGATTGGATTATATTTTTAAGTATGTTCTTATCGTAAGTTTATTCGTATTATAATTTATGTATGCTCATGTTATGATTTTGATTGCATTATAATTTTATCTATTGGGTTATAAAGATTTGAAGTTTTAAGTTTGGTATGTGATTTTTTACATAKCGTATGGTTGGTCCATTCACTATTGTGTTTTTAAAGTCAAGGTGTGTGTTGAAGATGAAAARTGRTACATGTACATYATCCTTTGAAGRARACATATCTTTATGTGGARTATTTTTTATTCTTAAGTTTGTGTCAGATTTCTTAATATTTCCGTCGTTATTATTACTCATTTTATTTAGTTTTACAACTTTATTACTAAACAAATCTCTCTCTCAATATATATATATATATATATATATATATATGTGTGTGTGTATTAAAATTTCACTAACTATATTTTATTTAACTTTTTTGAATAATTTGAATATGATTTGTTAATGATTCTATAACAACTAATATATATTTATATAGACAATTCTCACATCATTAATTAAAGCACTCATGTTACCGTGCAATGCACGGTTCCCATACTAGTTTCTATAAGGTAGACCCAAACTCTTTTTGCATTGTCCATGTCCGTCCGTTGATTTTAACAAGTCAGTCCGGTTCCATCCATTTCTTTGAAAATAGTAGTCCAACCCCCTTTTTCTACCCGATTGGACAGGACGAATCTAATGGGTTATCCTGCTCGTGGACAACTCTAATATATGATGATTTCACTAACATTCCATTTTTTTTTCAATTACGAATAGTTAAAATCGTACATTTTTCAACTATGGATGACTTCAACGATAACAATTACTTAAGCTTGATTGTAGAAGGAAAATAATTGGTTGTTTACAAAACGCTTACCCAAGTAAATGTTTACCATGTTACATTACCTTACGAGATGAATGTGACAAGGACCAAGAATCTTACTCGGTAAGGACGAGAGAAGGAACAAGAATCTTACCCGGTAAGTGAAGGCAACAACTCTTACCACGGTAGGTAAGAGCTTATCGGGTAAATTATTGCATATGATGTTGTTTTGGTGAACTAAAATCTTACCCGATAAGTAAGTAATAGTGTTAAATTTAACTAGTAAGCACTTATTGAGTAAGTTTTTAATAAAGAGTCCCTAAGATTCAAAGACGGAGAATGCCAAAGTGGAGAAGATTTCATTCACTTTAATACAATGTTACAAAAAGGAACATTAAGAAAATAAAAGAAAAAAACATATCTAAAATATAGAAAAGGACAAAACTATCGTTATCATATTTATTATTAATATCTAACACGGGGGAATCGTACATCAACAAAAGGTTGCACTGTGGTTTCGTTAATTCCCTCAAATTGTTTTCATTTATGCATTTGATGTTAGACGTACCTATTTTTTATTATTCACCGTTTTTTAACACAAAAATTACTGTAAACAAGATGAATCTTTTTCTCAAATTTTTCATTACAACTACCTTTAGAGCTTTGGTAAAACACAATTACTTTTTACGATTCATTTTTTGTTGTTCATGTGCGATTGTTGCATGTGTTTATGTTTACTTCGTGATTACGAAGAGCAACTTGCAAAAGTAAAATGGGCTGATATGTTTCTGGGTCTAATTACACATCATTTGCACCAAAAAGACTACAGCCACAATAACCAACACCACAAATCACTTTTTTACTCTGTACTCCCTTCACCAGAATCATCCTTATCAGGTTCCTTGAGGAGATCAACCAGATCACCTTGGTCAATGCACCTTCTCATAACACCAGGAGGAACCAACCCCATTGCGGCAATGCTGTTTGCAATCACGTTCACGTCCGTCGTTCCTCCATAGAAACCTCTACTTCCACCACCTGTATCCGTGTTGGCCAGAACAGACGGAAACTGGCTAGATCCACTGATGAGCAGCCGTAGTGTATCCCTAGCGCTCTTCTCTGAATCACTTTCTTGGACCAATGGGGGAATGCTTACGCTCATAGCAGGGCTGGCACTTACCAGATACGCTTGACCTGAGGAGCAGAATTCGATTACGGGCACATGAACTATAGGATCACACATGAGAGGGGTGAACATTGGGATCTGTTGTGAAGTCGGCATAGAGAGGGGTAGAAAAGGTGGGATTTCAGACAGATTAGGAATTGGTGATGACGACCTAGGAGCAGAACCTGCAAGCAATGCTGAGAAGGGTGGTAACGTAAATGATTCGGCTGTTGATGATGTATGTGGGGGTGCTACCGTGTATTGGAGAGTTGAAACAACAGGCGGACACCAGCAATAATATGGGGAAAATAGAGACGATGCTGCTATGGGAGGTACTTGAGGTGCTGCGCTTAAAGATGGCATGTCCACTGCCTTCCCTGGTTCTAGCCCACTTAATAATGGGAACAAGCAAGTTTCGGGAGTAGTAGAAGGTTCTGGAAGCTTGCCTTTTTCATAGTTATTTAATGTACGCTCACCAGTGCCAAGAGAAGGAACAAGCTGCTGTTTTTCGGAGCTTTTTCGCCTCAACTTGTCTCTCACCACATTTCTCAAGGAAGCCAAGTTTCTGGGTGGGCCTTCTTTGAAAGAACTTGGCCTAGGACTCAGGATGCAGCTTCGGCCACGTGAAGGCTTTGATGCCAAGGATGGAGATTGTGAATTTTGGGCAACCTCAGCAGCGTTGGTATTTGAGGCAGGGGTTCTTGAGACAAGTATGGTATTATTATCCAGAGGAATTGACCCAACAAGATAAGTTCGAAGATGATCCACAAAACGTTGTAGCCGTGAATCGCTGATTCCGGTTAGTTCAGCAAGGGAAGGCTTCCTATCAAGTAAATTCTTCATCTAAAACAAGATGTATATATCTCATCAGTATGTATGGTTTTGCAATGCATAATAAATGTGACCACTACTTATTATTTGCACGTTATGCGCTACCTTTTCAAGCAATTCATTACCAAGAAGTCTGGACTTCTCTGAGCACCAAAAGTAGAAAGGATCCCTACTGGGAACCCTGATAGCAAAAGACCGACCAGAACTATCCGCTGGTATTCCCTCAATCACCACAGAAGAGCAATCTGATATGTTTCTCAAGATTGACAGCCTCTCTGCATAGCCATCATCCGCAAGAAATGATATGCGCAGATCAGAAGTTGGCAAGAGTGAGAGAACTAAGTTTCCCCTGTCGCAATGCAACATGTATATGATAAGCATCTAGAAATTAAGAAATACAACCACCTCCAACAAAAAACTAATGTCGACTCTAAGATCATTTTTATGTGTAAAAGGCTTTCTTCATTTCTCCTTCTACCACCTAAATGCAGCCTGTTGATGTAAATTGATGTTCCTATTATCTATTGCTTACATTTTTTCCCTCGTAATTTATTCTTTTTTCCTTTTTTTTTTTTGGGGGGGGGGGGTTGATGCACAAGACATGTTTCTCCATCTTACCTGAACTGCCTAAAACAGCTGTGTCGCTTTAACGACAACAGTACAAAACTTCCACTGTTTCAGTTATCTAAAAAGTTAACAAGTTGCTCACATTTACTTCTTAACTTGGTGATTATTTTAACCAGGTATGACCTCAAACCCTTACTTAAATAACATGTTAAACAGAGATTACTATTGCTATTGCACAGATGCATATGCTCGTCAAAAGAAGTTAAGACAGGTTAAATGAAATGAAACTAGCCTCTTAATATCATTCACATACTTCTAACAAAAGCATAACTAGCCACCGAGGAAAAACCTCAGCAACCATCAAACTTGCTACTTCAGACAGGTATACATTGGCATCGACACATCAATATCACATGGAAGAAACAAGATTGTCTAAGCTTATAAAGCAAGAACACAAAGAGCAAGGAGAACTTTTCTAAACATGTGTCTATTTTGGATAATGGGGTACAGAAATTGGCAGAAACAGGTATTACAGCAAACAGACAAACATCAAAGATGTACAAAGAGTTGGATAATAACAAGATCTGCAACAAATGTGTGAGTATTTGCAGTATATAAATATTATATGCTTATAAAAAGGAGCTGCAGCGAATTCCAGAATCCAAAGAATCTAAAATACAATGTTAACATGGCATAACAATAACAGTATACAATATGAGAGCATGAATCTACCTTTACTTCTTCTTAATTCAGAGATCATAATAGAATACGCCCAGTTTACCTACAATGAAAAGACATATTCATATTGAAGCAAGTACATGTGACCATTAATAAGCTAATATACAGGCACCTATAATTTCTACATGTTAAAAGCCAGAGCACGTAATCCCAGTATAAGTCTAAAACATTAGATTCCTTACCAGGAGAGTTATCAATCGATTTAAGCAAGTTATAAGGAAGGGGCAGTGCATATCATTACTTGCTAAAATAGATAACACAAGCAACATTTTTTATGGTATTTAATTTTAAACATAAACAGGATGGTCTTATCAGGTTACCATTTAGAAAGACAATTTGCAATATAACAGACAGAGGCAAGTCCTATGAAGAAACATGTGTTATTGCAGATAAAGCAACACCCAATTAGTACTCGAAAAATTGTAGGTGACACACAATAACAGATCGTTTCCAGCTGCAGCTGATCTGACATAAGATGTCATTCCAATAACCTCATTGTGGCTGCTGCGTGTCAAATGCAGCAGCTCATGATTTACAATCTCAGGCCGAAATACAGTGGTCCATAAGCCAATCAAATAGCTTCCAACAGCCAATATCAATTGATCAGGTTGAACAATACATCCCCAATCATGTACATGACTCAAAACTTGCACCACTAACAGGTTTAGGGATTAGAAAAAAGAGGGCGCGTCCTACATCCACATCAACTATGGTGGAATAATGCAACCTAATTAGATATTAATACACACTTTGTTCTCATATTACAAGCGGGTAAAGAGTAATATTGATTCTAAGGTAAAGGAAGAAGACCGGAAAGCATCACCAAAACCATTCCATACTGCTTACTAAGCAAGGGAACTTTAGGGAATGGGCCACAAAGATATATGCAACTAGATATCTACTCCCAAAGAAATATGTTAGCGGTTCACATAGCGCCACTTATGGGTTCTACAGTCACATGGTAAGGATGCTAAAGCTGTAACATTCAAAGATTATGTGCTTCCACATGTTGCCAAATCCCTGCACCAGGTTCTTTGAGGCTGAAGTTCTTCTAGGATGCAGCAGGTTATCTACCATGTGCAGTAGATCAGATTTTCGAATTTTTTACTACGAATTCAGAGGGATAAAAGGATGGGAACACAACACAAAAAGACGACGAAAATCACAAGTTTCAAAATTAGAACCAAAAGAGAAAATAAAAGATGAACTGAAGTAAATGATTCAAAAGAAAAAAAAAATAAGACAATAACATATTACTTCTCCTAATAGTTTGGACTACTATGGACACAGTACAAAAAAAATGATAGCACAGTGAGACTTAGGTGTTTATTGTATATTATCTTACATATTTGCATAGGATCATGGAATAACTTTTTTTCTATCATTGAGTTGGTTCTAGACTTGCATATATACGCATATGCAGAAGCACCCCTATATCCTTAATTGTTTATAATCTTAGAGTCCTAGTAACCTCTTATCACAAATTTAGATCCTTGTGCCCATATCCTTGCAGCATCGAAAGTGCTTGGCCCTAGTGAGTAGTGATTCACTTAAAGAAACATCACTGACTTGCATTGAGCAATGACTTAATTTATCTATCATATTATAAACAAATCAATTTTGATCTCAAGATACTCAACTGGTCATGTCTTGTTACATGTTATCCACCAAAAATAACATCATTACCTTAAATTCAACAAGGAGTTGACTTTTACCTATCATGTTAGCCTGATTTATCCTTCAAATTTGCAAGCCCAGCTACAACTAAACCACTTACAGCTAATATCTCCATAGTCAGTATTATGTATAGAAGTTGAAAGCCAAAATATACACTCATATAAATAAATAACTGTTGCTTTCAGAAGAGAAGATATACAAAGAAAAATCTTAGCACATCATACATGTTACCCCTGTAACCATTAGGGGACCAATAAGGAATGCAGCGTTCATATTTCAATAAGATATTGATAAACACTTATGCATTCATTGATAACTTGTTGAAGTGCCAAGAGGTAAATCTAAGATGAAAGCAATCTTGGCAGATGTACAATTACACCTGAGGACAACAAGTTGCATTGCAAATGATATTTGAAGTGAGAAAGGAAACAAACAACTACCTTGCACTGGTTGGAATAAGAAGTGTCCCTTGTTTGTTGATTTTCCCAACACGAAGTGATACAAGAGGAATACACAAGCACCTTGCTAGCAAACCGACTTCTGATGGCTCAAAATGCTGTCAGGTAAACCATGTTGAAGAATAAGTGTCAGTTAATAGCACGTTTCAATTGCAACACGACAATACATCATCACGAGCATTCACTTTCCTTGTTCAGGCAACAGGCACCGAATTGGGGTCTTAAAAGATCAAAAATAATAAAAACACCCCAAAAAACAACATTAATTTATCTCCTCATAAATTTTCTGTGAACAGAAGAACATTTCGAGTGATCATCCAATAACATTTCAGGTGATTTTAGAAGAAACCATAAGCAAATCCTTTGAAATGAATATAAGTCACATGATTATCATATTTTAAGACTTTCTATCGAGTTTACATAAATAGGAAAGCTCAACGATTCGCGGAAAGAGTAGCGTGCATATAGATGGAACGTATTAGATGTATTACGAATCAACAAAACACAAGTCGTCTACCCTAGAAGGATACCTGACTTAGATGCGACAGCAATCGGTCTTCAGCCACGCTAGATACATTAAGCTTGAGCAAGGGCTTCAACCTCTCATCGGCACGACAGGCTCCCATCACTTGCATATCAAGAGCCTGTAACCACTGAACGACCGTGCCTTCTTGAGTGTTCCGTTGCATCAACAAATCGCTATCGCGGTCCCCATCGCCAACAAACAAATCCGTCAAACGGGCAGCAAGTCCGATATCGTTTCCATTCCTCCTTGTCAGGTAATCTCCGGAAACTGCCGTCGAAGAAACCTCATCGGTACCATTAGATACCGGTGACGAATCATCGCTTGATTGTTGTTGATCGTCGACCTCCCGATCACTAAAAGATGGTCGTTTTCCAGAATTATTCATATTGATTGATTATAACGCAGATCCTTAAGACAAATTAAAGGTTTCTTAACAGATTAGAAGAATATTGGAGTCTAATTGATGATTAGAAACCCTAGATGGCAAGGGGCTAAAAAAGAACCTTCAATTGAATCGATCGATCGATCGGTCGGTCGGTCGGTGAAAACAAAGATCGACTCGAGGGATCTGATCCGATAAAATCTGCAAAACGTGAATAGTAGCAGATATGCAAAACAAGAAACGCAGAAACGAATGCAAGGGAACTCCTATATAAAGAAATGACGTTACGGACTTGAAAAATAGGTTATTGTGATTCCAATTTGTGGTTTCGAGTCCGGGTCCATCTGTTCTGTGTGGGGCACACGTTGACGATTAGACATCGTTGGCCTTGGATTTAAAGTGGGCCCGTAGCCAATCAAAAATGCTTACTTTATTTAAAGCAAATTACTGGTTTTGTCCATGTGGTTGTATGGAAATTACGAATTAGATCTTAAAAATAAATAATTATAAGCATCGTCATCATGGTTTATTTTTGTTATGCTTTCCTTTTTTGATCCGGCTTTGTTAATCTAGGTTTTATTAGGGCATTTATGTGTCCTTCACGTGAGGGGTACTTTGGTCTTTTGACTTCATCATTTAAAGAATTTTTTATAGTATTAGTTTAGATTCCGCTTGTAAATGTACGAAGCAATTACAGTAAAAGAAAACATAAATCCGTTGATAAACAGAATATAATCAAATCAAACATTTCTTCAACTTCGACAGGCTTTAAAACGTAAAAAGACGTACATCCGTTGAAACGTTCATTGATGCATAACTCATTTGTTAATACAAATAATTCAAGACATAATTTTTGAATGAAAACCCCATTTTTTCATCTTAATACAGAGAATCTAAAATGCAGACTTTAAGACATAATTTTTGAATGAAAAAAAAAACCATTTTTCAACACAGTGACTTCAGCACAAAATAATATGAAATCTCCATTGATGCTCCTTGATAGCTCGTAACCATTGATTGTCGTTGGGGTTTTATAAATGTTCGTAGGGACGGTCCATACCTGTTGACTCTGCCATCGGTGTTCCTTATTGTTCGAAACCTTAATCCCTTTCTATTTGTTCAAAACTCGATAAAAACGTAGATTTCTCAATCCAAACTACGATGAAACCTTAACTCTGGAAGGGGTCGGAGATGTTGCAGTGGTCAGAGACGAGTGAAGGGAGCCATATAAGGGGGAAGATGTCGGAGATAAGGTAGGGGTGACGAGGTAAGGAGCTGTAAGTGGGGGTGGATTATTTTTTTTGTTTTTTTTTTTTTTTTGTCGACTTGTATAGTAGCATCTAAATTGTACAATACAAAATTATTAAACTAAATGACCAAAATGTCCTCACGTGAGAAATACATGAGAGAGTCTTAATGGATCAATGGTTAATGGAGTTAGGTCAAGGGACCCAAGCCGCAATAAAATTGAAACCATGATAATGATACTTGTAATATTTCGCTTGAAGGACTCGATCAATAATTTCAATATAACCATAGGGACTAAATTTGTAAGTTACTCCTTTATTTATGATTCATCAAGTAGATATTGAATTACATGTTTCGTCCCTGTGCTTTCGTGAAATTGTTGGATCTATTCTCTAATCTGAAAAATTAACGAACATGCTATCGTGGTTGTATTTTTGCAACGATTTGGGTTCCTATTCCTAACGTCTGTCATGTTTGACTATCTGGTATGTTAGAAATACAGGATTAGACAACAATTATCAAGAAAATGGACAGCCTTGGGTTTGTTCGTTAAAATTAAAAGGGCGAACATGGATAATGTAAAAATAGATATGGACAGACCCGTCCAGCCCATTTATATTTATAATTAATATTTTTTACCATTAATTAAAATTATACTAGTATATTTTAAATTTTAAATTATTAAAGTTATAGGATGATGTTGTTTGTTTACCACTTAATGATCTCATCAAGAGGTTCAACTCTAAATTTTGTTTTTCATTTTTTTCTCCACTTGTTGAGATCAATGTGTCATTTTAATTGCTTAAGATTTTAATCGCAACGATGTTTTTTTTTTGTTCTACATTTGTTAATTAATTGTTAGTGATCAAGTTTATAAATTTATAAGAATTACACTTTTTAAGCTCGTTAGCCCATGAGCAAGTCCGACCCATTTATTTGTCGGGCAACGGCAAGTTGTCAAACCCGAAAAAAAGTGTTTGGTTTACAATATTAGTCTCGTTTGACAAAAAAAAAACAAGTTAGGCCCAACCAGTACTCAACTCAAGCCCGCAAATGACCACCTCTAGTTGAGAGCTTGGAGAATGATGTTTCTTCTGCGTGATGCTTATGGAACAAAACCATTAGGTTACTTTATCTTTGAATTTGGGTTAAAGGGTTTCATTTTCAAATGAGTCGAGAGTGTCATCTTCAGATCTAAGTTGAGAACAACGGTGAAAATGCAAAAGCATTTGAAACCAAAACAAAAGGATTCGAATCTGGATTAACGATCGAATCATCATAGGATGAAGACAATTAAGAAATGGATGGTTGGGCTGAATAATTTGGCTATGATCGACGAATTTGGGTCGAATAAAACCCAAAAGTAGATAGTTGGGTTAAAGAGTTTAGCGATGACCGACAAATCTAACTGAGTTGAAGAAAACCCAAAAGTGGACGAGTCAAAGAATTTTGAACTTGGTTTTCTCTAGTAGAAGATGATTTTTCTTAAAATAAAATAAAAAGCAAAATACTCTTAGGGGCTGTTTACCTAAACGCTTGTCTGGTAATCGCTTACCAATATGAGTCAATATTGTAATTTATTTTACCGGGTAAAATTGTAGTACATCAAATTTGTATCATATGCAACAATTTACCCGGTAAGCGTTTACCCAGGTAAGAGACGTCACCATCACTTACCTACTAAAACTCTTCATCTTTACATTACTCTTACTGTGTAAGATTTTTGACACTTGCCATTTTTATACGGTAAGAAAAATTACTCACTAAACACCTACCGGGTAAACATTTAATATACGGCCCCTTAGAATCCAAATGTTATTCCAACGCCATTATTGATAGACATAAATGTAACTACAAAGGACCATTTCTGTAATTTTTCATATTAGGGACCCGATCCTTTATACACGGACAAATACTGTAATTTCACTTTTAAATAAATATTTAAAATAGCTTTTAATAATACACAACATTCTTATATAATTGGTTAATAAGTCAATAAATGAATAATTTATTATATTGAAATAATTTTTTCTAATCAAAATAATGCATAAAAGTATCTCCAATAATTATATTATTTTAAAAGATTTAAATACTTAAAAGATATTTATTTTAATAATTATATTAAACTTTCTTCTAAAATAAAAATAATAAATCTTTAAATTTAAAAAAAATAGAAAAAATCCTCTAAATATTCAAACAAAATCAATATTATAAAAAAGATAGTTACATATCTTTATCTATACTACCTTATAAATCAAATTTATCAAAATTCTTAAAAACAATTTTTAATGCACAAATTACTATACATTTATGCATAAAGTCTTAAAAATAACTCATAATTAATTAAGTACTACTACTTTATGCATTCAGTTCTAAAATCTCTTAATTTATAATTAAAATAACATATAGTGCAAGTTACCAATGCACATTATTACCCTTTTTTTCATGTTCCCAGGATATTTTTGACACATTTCACTCATGCTTTCACCTTCTCATACCTCTGTCTTCTTCTCCCCATCCTCCAAGGTAAGATTCAAACTAAAATCCACCATAAGTTATTAAAAGTTGTCTCATTCATCTCTCATTCAATTGATCCAGAACTTTCGATCTCGTTTTCGATCTCTTGATTCTTTGCTCTTGGTGTAAATCGAACACATTTGTGGAGTTGTTTAAATATGTTAGATTTTAAATATATTGGATTTTAAACTTTCATACAATTTTTTCCATCGATAAACTGTAATTTGAACCATAACTCTTATTTATTCAAATTGCATTAATATGTAAACATCAAGTGTAACTTATATCATCGTTAAATTTTCTCTAATAAAATCAATAAAACTTCAAAATCATTTAATTTCATGACTCACATCACATTACACGAATAGACAACTAATAAAGTTAATCAAACAAAAATAATTTACCGTTTATTTTTAAAGAGGAAGTAGGAGACGAAAAATAATGGTGTTGAGGGTGGGTGGTGGGTCCCAAGAGGAATAAAAGATGACTCATGACTCATGAGTATAAAATATCTAACGGAGAGGGTCCCACCCCCAATTAGCCTTATCACGTGCAAAGCCGGGTCCCTTCTCTTTTTCCAATTATATCATGTGGTCCTGATTTTAATTATGGAGAAAAAAGGTCGTAATTTACTTAAATATCGAGTAAATTACATTTTTAGTCCCTAAGATTAACACAAAAATATACCTTCTGTATTTATGTAATATCTATTTATACTATATTATAAAATATTTGACAAAAAATTTTAAAAAATATTTTTATGCATGAAATACTGTTTATCGATTTATATTAATTAAAATTCAAGATTATAAGTAAATTATGCGTAACTACAATTTATTAGAGCTTTATGTTTAAATTTGTGTAACTAACTGTAGATAAACATAATCAAATAGAAGATAAACATCTCACTTTAAATATAAAAAAATCTAAAATAGAATTAATATAATCATTGAGTTTTAACAAAATACTTAATTATTATCTTTATAAAAATTATATTATTAAACCAAAAATAAAAAATGAATTGAAGAAATACATAGAAAAGAAGAAAATTTAAATAGTTAGTTTGGTACTAATATTAAATTTTTTTCAAAATTTTTATGATATATCTTCATATTTATATTTTATTCAAAAATAAAAACATTATCGCTTTCTCAAAACCACATAAAACTGTATTATAACGTCAACTGAGACAAAACATTTTTATTAGTAAAAGAATTGAGATGTATCCGTTGCATTATGCGATTACCCTTCTGGTATTATAAAGCATTTGACAAAAACTCTTAAAAACCATTTTTTGTGCATAAAGTAATATTTATTGATGCATATTACTTAAAATTCAAGATTACAAGTTGATTGTGAGTAAGTACATATTATTAAAGCTTCATGTTTCATTCGTGCAATTAACTGCAGATAAACATAATTAAATACAGGATAAACATATCATTTTTAATATAAAAAATTTAACATATACTTAATTACTATTTTTATAAAAAAATTTATTATTAAATAAAAATATATATTAATTTGTTGTTAAACTTAAATTAAATTATAATAAAAAAATTAAATTAAAGAAATTATTAAAAAAATGAAAACTTTTAAATAATTAATTTGATACTAATATCAGTATATATTTTTTTTCAAACTTTTATGATATATATCTTCACATTTATATTTTATTTAAAAATAAAAAAGCTATTGTTTTCTCAAAACTACATAAAATCGTATTATAACATCAATAAAGAGAGAATAAAATGAAACATTAAAATCGAGATGTATTTCGATGTATTAAGCGAGTACCCTTCTAGTTATATTATAAAGCATTTAACAAAAACTCTTAAAACCATTCTTTATGCATGAAACATTGTTTATCAATGCATATTACTTAAAATTTATGATTACAAGTATATTGCTTAAAACCTTTCGTGAATCCTTGACCATTTATGGTCGTCTCTCCTCTGACACGCACATCACCTATCTCCCTTCTACCTTTCTTTCTCGGTCTCTAATCTATTAAAACCCTCCCAGGCCATATTCCGAGAAACCAAACCAAGCAAAACAGATCTCGTATTTTTCGACCTCTCTCTTATCTCAATCTACAATTTCAAGTGTAAAAAGAAGCAAATACAACATTACACCACATCCTCCATGACCACCGTTTCCTTCCCCTACCCTTACACCACACCTCCTTTCATTCCTCAAACACCACCATCTTTTTCCTCGAACATCGACCATTGTCTATTGTTTTCTAGTATCACCATCGCCGAATTCATCCTAGATCTCTACTAACTGTAATAATATGTATTGCATATATATATATGAAAGAGTTATATAAAGATGTAGAAGAGATTAATATATACATATATATATAGGTGAAGGTTCAAACGAGAACCCATGTGATTTATGAGAACGCGAGAACAACCCAATAACCTCAAATTTTTTTAATTAATAAATTAATTTATATTAAATATAAATAAATTAATAAGGGCAGTAATGTAATTAAGTAATTTTTATTTTATTTTAATTAATTATAATTATCTTTTTTTTCCTACACGTTCGTTTCCACTCTCTTCTCTTCCCTTGTGATTATTGTGTGATTGTGTAACCATAGCCTATCGAAACCATGAACAATCGAGTGTAACCATAACCTATCGAAACCATAAGTAATCATTGTGATAAATGTGTGATTGTCTAACCCTAACCGATCAAAACTATGATCAAATTGAGTGCGCAAGTGATGTTATAATAGTGATATCACATGATTATCACACCCATATCACATATTATTACACCCATATCACACCAAATCGTTTTCGTTGTAATAAATGTGTTGTCTAATCCTAACCTATCGACACCATCCGAAATCGTTGTGACAATGTCTAACCTAACTCATCGAAACCATGATCAAATCGRGTGATATTGATATCACATGATTATCACACTCATATCACACAAAATCGTTTAATTGATTTCGTCAGTAATTCGTTGTGATGAATGTGTGATAAATTAATCCTAATCGAATGAGATACCTTGAATAAACTGTGTTTCTTCTTCTTGTTGTTCGATTGTTGCATGCAAACGCTTCTTCTTGATCAATTACTGTTTGATGTTTGATTTCTGCGACTTTACGGCTTCTTTGTTCGTTGATTTCTCCTTGAAATCTTAATGGATACCTAATAAATGGTATCAAGAGCCTTGCCAGCTGGAATCTAGCCCTCATGGCCTCCCATACTTGGAGAATCCTTACCAATAGAGATTCGCTCTGGGTTAAATGGATCCACTCCTACAGGCTGAAAGATCGTAATTTCTGGGATGCCCCGATACGCAGTGATGTTGGTTGGGGCTGGAGGAAGATCCTGGGTATGAGGGAAAAGATAAGAGACTTTATTGTCTCCCAGATTGGTGATGGCGCGTCCACGTCTACCTGGTATGATAACTGGCATCCGGCTGGCCCCCTCTACCGGCATATCTCTTCACATAGTATTCTCAACTCTAATATTTCTCTCTCTGCTTCTGTCAGAGATATTGTTTTCCAGGGCAATTGGACGTCTCCTCTCCTGAGGGACAATTCCAACCCTTCTATCTGCGTCTCTCCCCTCCCTGTCCTTTCCCCGACCACTCCTGATCAGCTCCTCTGGAGAACTAGGGATGGCCGTCTAACTCCTTTCTCTGTTCGTGAGGTGTGGCTCTCCCTCCGTCCCAATGAGCCTGATGTCTCCTGGCATCATTTAGTCTGGTTCTCTCAAAGCATCCCTAGACATGCCTTCATTCTGTGCGTTGCTCTCAAGCAGCGTCTCAAGATGCATGATAAACTTCGGTTCTGGGAGGCCCATTCTGACCTGTCCTGTGCGTTCTGTCAGAACGGGCCTGATTCGCATTCGCATCTTTTCTTTGAGTGCCCATTTCCTAATCTGGTCTGGAATGGCTTAAAGGCTAAGATGAACCTCAATGGTGTCCCGGATAACTGGGATGATATTATTAGTATGCTCCAACAAGCCACCAAAGGAAAGACCATCTGGTCGATCATTCGTCGTTTAGTGCTTGTTGGGACCGTCTACCACCTGTGGCATGAAAGAAATAACCGTATCTTCAAAAGCAAGAGAAGATCGCATATTATGGTGGGTAAGACTATTACTGATGATGTCCGATCCAGGCTCCTCAGCCTGACTTTCAAGCCCTCCCCCAATGTTGACCGGGCTCAGCTTGCCTGGAACCTTCCTTAGCCGTTTGTTCTTTTGTGTTGTCTGTTCTTTGTGTGAGCTCCTCTGCTCTCCTGGTTTTCTTGGTGCGGTCTAAGGTGTGCCTTTTTAGGCCCCTTCTCCTGCCCTTGTGGTGTCCCCCGTTGTTTCCCGGTCTTGGCTTGGCTTGGGCCCTTCCCTTGTGGTCGGCTTCTTTCTATTTCTCTCTCTCCCTCTTCCTCTCCCTCTTCTTCTCTTTCCCTCTTCTCTTTTTCTCCCCCTCTTCTTTCTCTCCTTTCCCCTCTCTTCTCGTCTTTCTTCTTCTTTGCCTCTTTCTTTCTTTCCCTTCTGGGTGCCTTGGATTCTGGTAGTTGAGGTTTCCTCCTACCCGAGCGCTTCATTGTTGTTGTTTTAGCGTTTTAGTGTTTTTTCTTGATTTGGAGGGGTCCTCCCCCTCCCTATCAAAAAGATAAGGATAATCACTCTAATTTGAGGATTGTCATGTGATCGTGTAATCGTGTTTAAGATTTTATAATATCAATTTCCATTATTACCCTTTTGAATCTCAATTTTTTTTGAATCTTTTTAAATTTTAATTTTTATCACAATATGAGGTTAATAGGTTGTTCTCGCGTTCTCGTAAATCATAGGGGTTCTCGTTTGAACCTTTCCATATATATATATATATATATATATGTATGTATATATATATATATGAAAAAGTGATGTTATCTATTTACGTACTAATAAAGAACTTAATGATCGTATTTAAATCAAAGGAATAGAAGGGTATCAAGTTCATCGGGTTAGATTGAGTTTAAATGACCCTAAACCAATATTTTTGTGGATTTTACAACTTGATTTAGCATCAGGTAACTACTATTTAAATTCTTTTGGATTGAGTTTCATGTTTCAGGAAATGGTGGAATCCGTCTCTCGCAAGTGCGCAACTAGCCACTTGCCAGCAAGCACCTGGATAAACTAAAAACATGGAAACTGTTCTTATGCCCATTCCAATCTTGTCTAACTTTGCTAACTCCCCCTAATTGCCATTATAGCACGTGTGTGGCCTAGCCCATAAAAGCCATGCGGGCTTGACATCGAAGGCAAAGCAGTGAGAATTCTCTGGTCAAGTTTTTGTGAACCCTTAATTTAGGTGTATGTATGAGAGGAAAGTGAAATACGAGTAGGAGTATATGAGATCCAATATGGCAGTTTAACCTTCTCTTTTAGCAAACCAGACCAGACCGCAAGTTTGAGATTTTTACAAACCGTGCGGTTTGAATTGAAGTGTCCATAGCGGTCAAACGAGACCACAAAAGATGGTTTAGTTTGACTAGTTTAAACTAATTATGGAATATAAAGTTTAAACTATGAATTAAAAAAATTAAATCCAAACATATAACTTAGTAAAAAGATCAACAAATCAACCATATTCTATAGTCCTCACATCATAGATACTTTCCAAAGTAACAACTGATAAATTAAAGATGCGATGAACCCAAAAATTTGTTAAAACTAAGGAGTCATTTACCAAACACTTATTCGGATAAGCACATATCAAGTCATACTACCTCACCAGACGAATATGGTAAGAACTAAGAATCTTACACGGTAAGAACGAGACAAGGACCAAAAGTCTTAACCGATAAGTAAGGACGACGACTCTTACCATGGTAAGCGCTTACCTAGTAAATTGTTGCATACGATGTCGTTTTAGTATACTAAAATCTTACACGGTAAGTAAATAATAGTGTTAAATTTTACCGGTAACCACCTATGAGTAAATGTTTGGTAAACGACCCCTAAATTCCAACTTCAAGTAAACCGTAAAAAATATTGCATACTATCAAAAGTAAGAGAACTCATAAATATTAGTCCAATCTGTAAATTTAATAAAAGAATACGAGACTGTCAGCCTATATATATTTAAAAAGTATATATGTGAAGCAATGAGTGCGAAATGCAAAAGGCAAGATGAAACGAAAACCTTCCCATATGCAAAGCAATATTATATTTGTAGGTTCAACAAAATATCAACTAAAATACCACTACAAATTCTCACTCACTCCTTCACTTGCGCTTTTTGTTATCTGTAGCATTAGCATACTCGTTTACAAGTCCCTCAACATCTTTCCAAAACAGCCCTTCCACCAACACTCCATCCTTTGTGAACCTGCAAAATCATCCAGAAACTCATAAATCCCTAAACCACCCTACACAATAAATACCAAATCTTTTTCTTCTTCCCTTTACACAAATTCAACTTTAAGATGTTTAAAGATCGAGATCGAGGAAAAAAAAATACTTTTTTTTAAATAATTATGGTTAGATTGTGTTTGGTTCTACATGTGTTAGGTCAAGAGAAAAAGATCTACATCGATGACAATGTAAACTGGAAATTGTTAGAGAGGAGAGAGAGACCATTTTGTCACGCTTTTGGTGAACTCCACGGTTGGTTTTGCAGAAATAGATTTAGAATCAGTGCTAGCTATCGTAAGAGTATACATGTCAGAGAATCTGGGCAACTTAGAAGAAACCATCAAGCCGGTGCTAGTGTAAACAGAGCCCTGTCAAGATAACAACAAACTTGATCAATGAAGAAGGATGCCAGCTCTGTCAAAAGCTGAAAACAGGTCAAGTTCTACATCAGTCAATTTTTGAACATTTGCGTCAAAATGTCATGCAAGATATATCAATGAAATAACTAGACTAAATAACTGATATCCTAATAACATGATGTAACATTGTTTGCTTATTACAGATACTGAAGCAACTACGAAAAGTGATATAGTTAGGGAAGTCTAAGGTCCCTGGGGCACTGAATATAGTTTACTAGATACTGTGAGGTTTTTCTATTACATATACAGCTGTAAAAGACCATCCGGAAAGCAACAAGTTGCAAAAAAATGAAGTTAGACGTATTAAACCTAAATAATATAGCCCATCTTCTCCCCACCAAGACCCACAATGATTTTCTAATAAACCAAATCAGCCTTGTATATCCCACCTGAAAAAGGGGGGGGGGTGGTGGTGTTTATACAGCCGACCTGGCGACCTCCACCCCAAATGGTACAGCGGTTTTTTCCATGAACCCCCCAGCTTCTGCACAGTGTGGGTAAAAAAAAATTGCAGATAAAGATCATATGCAAAAGAACTTGAAAATAAGAAAGGCTGTGTAGAAATTTATACTTTGAAATTCAAGTTAGAATTTTCTGAATCTTTATGGTCAATTGTAGAACCTTAAGAATGTAGGACATTACCTCATAAAGGCCACCATATATGCAATTCCAATACTATATTGCATGTTAAATATGACTCCCTAAGCCCAAAGCAATAGACTAGCCCAATAACTTCTAAATCAACTTAAAACCGTGGTGGAAGTTACTAGTAGCCCACAGCCTGGGCCTTGTAAAGAGCTCACAAATCTCATTTTCTGTTCATGTAGGACAAGTTGTCACAAATCCCCCACTTAAAATCCTGATATCCTTGTTAGGCCCACCATTAAGGCATCAACCTCCTTGTTCATCGGCAATGTGAGATTCAGCTAAGATGTTACAAAAGCACCTGCTCAAGGAGTCATCATGCTCGATAAGATTTGCACCAACTATTATGATGGAATATGGTTTAGCTATGATACCATCTTGTAACATGACAAGCCCAAAGTAATAGACTAGCCCAATAACTTCTAAACCATGATAAAAATTATTGTATCCCACAACCTAGGGCATATAAGAAGCTCACAAATTTCATTTTATATTCATGTGGGGCGCGTTGTCACACACTCGCACCAACAATCTTCACGGTTAATATTATTAAGATAAGAGCTTCAAATAATGCCTTTAAAATACAAATAAACTCAAATGCAATTGGCCTTCAAGCAGGGTAGCACAGTCTTCGGATGGCCATTCTAAAGCAAAAAATGGTAAATGAGCAACTTTGACAAAAGAGGTTGGAATGGCACTCAAAACAGACGTAATGGAGCTTGATTTGCAGATCCATTTTGCAATATCATGTTATCAAATATAGCACCTTTGGTGAAGCTAAGATTTAGCTTAGTTCTGCTAAAGTACAATACAAATGGGATCCCTTGGTAGGAGGTCATCAAGTTTTAGGTATTTGCTAGAACTTCTTTGGAGTATTGTCCACATAATTAGTGACATGCATGCAAGAATAATGCCGACGGTCTTTTCAAAATATTGAGCTAAGGAGTTTCTCCTAATGATTCGTTCACTAATGTTGCTCATGGGTATAAATGATCAAGATTAAGAAGTTTTTACTAAATTTTTCCAGCCGCATGTTTGATGATTGATGAAGATGTAAGGGTTGCCAATCCAATCATACAGCTTATCCTAGCTCCACTTCTTTCATTTTGACTAAGCTCTTCTTGGTTTTTAGTAGCTTTAGCAGTTTATATTGTTTACAACAAAAAGAATGTTGCCTATCAATAACTCTATTTTTCAGAATGCTATTTATGGTTCGACCTATATGCTACCAAGCAGTTAGGTCATGCAGCAGTTTCTTATCCTTTATCATTCTTAAGCATATGATATGTTCTTGATAAACAATAACAGATCCATGCTAAAACCATGGCCATAGCAGGTGCGGTCCTAGATGGTGAAATAAAAGCCTGGTCCAAATTAATATATAAGTTGGGATTTATTCTTAACCGACAACACAATGTGCATAATGAAACATCTTCACGAGGCCAATTTGTAATCACGATTGTTTTGAAAACACAACCATGGCCATTGCAAGCTACGATGCAACATTCTTTTAGGAAACACTATATTCTATAACCAGCCAAGAAGGAATAGATGTGCTACCACCTAAGATTGGCATGACAGTTACAGCTCAGGTATGGTGTTCATGATATCTTATCGACCATGATGCAAAGATCCTTTGCAGTTCAATCTAACAAAAAGTCACTAAGGCTTTTATGTAAACACAAGTCAAATAAAGGCCAAACATTAGCATTATTCTTGGGGATTAACCTAGGAGTATAAAATTAAACATATAGCTAACTGAAGTACACAGATTGAAATCATCCAGTTCATTACCTTTAGTTATCCCTTGAACATTCAAAAGACTATCTTTAAAAACTAGAGGTTATCATCATAGCTGAAATTGTGATCTTATTGCTAAAACTGTTTTTAGTAACTGCAAAAGTTGGTTAAAACTTAAAATATGTGTTCATTTGGGGCTTATGTTTACTGAACATAAGTATTGGTGTTATGACTTAAATGAGATCCATATATTTTAATTTTCTAAAATTCTCCAAAAGGGTCTTGGCTTGCAGCACAACAATATTTTAGATTTGAGCATGAGAGTGCACTATATTAAACGACTTACAAACATACAAGGCTTAAAGAGTTATCAGAAAAGAATTTACTTCTCTTGAGACAACAACAGGTAACTAACAACCTTAACTAGTGTGATGAAAGATAATGGTGGTTATTTAAAGACAGAAGACTCAAGTCCTGAGACAATAAAAGAAGGCATTTCCTTAAAGATAGAAAAGAAGAAAAGACAGAGATAAGGAGGGAAGACGCACACATAAGGTAAAACTTAATGTAAGTCTATGAATAAAGAAAAAGCAAATAAAGACTTTCCGAGGGAGAACACCTTGAAAAGCTGACCTTGTTTTTATGCAATTAGATGATCATGCGACACAATCATCTCATTGCCAATTTTAATTTTCTATATAGCAAAATATGCTAGAAGATATATTATCTTGATGGCTTGACAAACTAAAAATAAGTCAACTAAAGCATATGATTTGAAATATTATTCCAGGTTTAACAATCCTTCAATAGAAAGTACAAGCAATTCGACTATTTTGAATGAAGGCATAACATTACATGTCAACCATGCCATCACAATAAGAATAGCATCAGAATATAGCCTATAAGGTACATCATCTATATTAACATTTCAAATAGATCCACATAAGGCTGAATATCAATAATCAATCCAGAATAAGTAAAAAAAACTTACTGCAGGAGGGTAGGTAAACAAAATTGCATTCTTTTCCTTCGTGTAGATGATCAGCTGCAATATCCCATTGAATAACACATACTTGCCATAGTCAAAGATCAAACGAACTCAATTGTCGGTCTACCAGTATAAGAAGCATAACACTATAAATCATTTATCTCCTTTGAGGTAAAACTGAGAACACTGAAAGTTCATTGATCCATTTTTGTAAACGTAATGCAGTAACACACTACAATAGAAATTCAATTTCAGACGTAAAAAGGATATAATACGATGCATCCAATGAGGAAATTTTTGTTATCCGGAAACTTCTTATTGTAAAACTGAGCAAAGAGGGCGATGATGATAATAATCGCTCCGATCAACAATCTAACGTTACTCGTTCTTACATCTTCACCGTAACCGCGATTCGTCACGATCTAGACAAAAACAAAAACAAAAATGTGACCATTGAAGCAGAATGATTAATAGATAACGTGAAATGTGAAATTCAAGATGCTTGTTAGTGAAATTGTGGTGTACCTCAGTGACAGTTTCATCGAGTAAGTGCTTGATGGAGTGATGATCTAAGATATTAGTCTTTTTAGGGTTTTTGATAGGGGCAGAAGTGGTGGTGTCGTTCGTAGTCGTCGTCGTGGTCTTCGTCATCTCCGATTTCTTTTCCTGTTTTTCCGATTGAGAATTCCTAGGGTTTGTCTGAAAATGAGATTTGGGGATTTCGTTTACTTTAATTGGAAAACTGATTCGTAGAAGCACGTTCATATGGGCCTAGATTGACTAGTAGTATTTACTCTTTAAGTGTTTAGACATGGAATTGGAACATAACTTCGGCCCAATTTTTTTTTTAAAAATAAACTAGTTGTGTATTCATGCAATGCGGTGGGATGTAAAATTTAATTATAAAATGCAAAAAAAATCATTTTGTATAAATACGAGATTCCAATTGAAGTTCAAGTACTTTAGATAGCAATCGCATTCCGTGTGAAATATTAGGGATGAAAAAAAGGCTTAAACAACAAATGCAGAAAAAAAAAACATATCTTAGAGAATTTACGTAATGTCATTCATCAATCCTTCTCCAAAATGTTTTGGAGAAAAACCACGGCATAACAAAATCACATAATGTATTGCACTTCATGATATTGGGGAGGGGGGGTACTTTTCAATTAAGTAATCCTTTATAAAATAATCATTGAATAAGATAAGAGGTGTTGAAGTCTGTAACTTAATAAGAGGTGGTGCTGAATTCTGAAATTTGAATAAATAAGACTGATTTTGTAAACTGATAAATGTCTGAATTTGTATAAATTGTCTATTTTACTCATTAGAAAATCAACGTTGAATTCATAGATATATTTATATAATTTAACATATTTATTCATCATCATTATGTTTTAGGTATGTCAATTACTTTTTGCTTGGAAAAGAGGATGAAGCTCCGAAAAAACTTATTGAAAGATTAAAATAACTTACAAGCTATTAAACGAGCATCCCATTTTTACAAATTTCAACATTACCTAAAAAATGTTTTGTAATAAAAACCAAAAAAGGCTTAAAAATAAACCCAATTACATCATTTAGAAACCAAGAAATTAAAGAAACCAATCTATAAAAACCCAAAACCAAAACTGAGGCCCTTTGTCAAATATATCAAAGCCAATAATCTCGAATGCAAAAACTGTCTACATTCCAGAAAAGCCAAACATGTAATCGGCTTGTGCAAAACCAAAAGCCCATTCCAGCTGAATCCAAAAAAACAAATGATATGAACATACAGAAAATTAATAAATCCAAAAACAACAACCCCGTTTGTAACATGCACACAAATGAACGATCCCAAGATGAAGATGAAACCATCATTTTTATAAAGTTGAGGGTTGTTTTGGTTATTTTTTATAAGAACAGGGGTTTTTTAGTTACTTTTTATAAAAAACAAGGGTTAATTTAGCTAAATTTTATAAAAATAAAGGTTGTTTTTGAGCACTTACCATTTTGTTTTATTTTAACATAAACAACCCCTATATTTTATCATTTTAATTTATCTGATTTTCTTCTCCATGGCCACCGCCGCCGTCCACCACCACCACCGGCTTCTCCAAAAACCTATCTATCTCGAGATCACAATCGTTTCCGCCAAACATCTCAAGAATGTCAACTGGAGAAACGGAAATCTCAACCCGTACGTCATCTTCTGGGTCGATCCAAATCGCCGCCTAGCCACCAAATCGGACGATTCCAATTCCACCAAACCCGTTTGGAACGAACGCTTCGTCGTCCCTTTACCGTCAACCCCCTTCGCCGCCGTTCTTACCCTAGAAATCTTCCATGCCAAACCCTCCGACACGCCGAAACCATTAGTAGGAACCCTCCGCGTTCCACTGGGGGACTTGCCTGATCCTGAAAACTCGGACCGAATTCGAACGTTCGATGTCCGCCGCCCATCTGGTCGTCTCAACGGTAAGATCCGTCTGAAAATTGCTCTCCGTGAACGGGCTCTACCCGATTACCAAAACACCCAAAAGCCACCATTTTATTATGCCTCACCGCCTCCACCCTCTTACGGTAGATTGCCATCATCACCGTCTCCGTACGGTTCTTATTCTTCTCTTCCGAATCCACCTCCGGCACCAGCTGCCTCCCCTCTTTCCGCCGCCCGGCAGGCGCCTCCACCATACCACAGCGTCTCGCAATCGGATCCGTATTCTCTATATTATCAGGGAGGATGCTATTCTCAGGCAGCTCCGTCCTCTTCTCCACGGCCATCAATTGACCGGCAGTTCAGCTACGCGAGTGTCAGCGGCGGGCCTAGCGCGCCGATGGATTATGCTCATTATGATCAAAAACCCAGAAATGGAAAGATGGGATCAGGGTTGGGATTGGCTTTTGGAACAAATACTGGGGGAGTAGCAGGGCTTGCAATTGATGAAGGATTGAGGTATGAAGATGGAAAGATCGGAGAGAGAGTTGAAACCGACATGGGTGTAAAGAAACCAGATGAATACGTCTATTACCGCCGTGTGGATTATTGATTCCGTTTTCGGGTATGTAATCTTGCTTACCCACAACAACGCAAATGATTCAACTGCTATGTAGCTTTTCATGTTTTGCTGTTGAAGTAAATATTGCTTTGTGTTTCTTATGAACTGATTTAAGTTGTAATAAGTTATGAAATTTGTTGATTCTTTCTCAAATGAGTTCTGTTTCGAGAGGAGATGTGTGGTGTGGTTCAAGTTATGAGCTTTGGTGGTTGATCACAAAACAAGTAATGTAGATTGAATTCATTTGTGAATATTGACCAGTGAAGGTTTATTCAGATTGAATTCACTTGTGAATGGATGTCATGTCAAATACTCATCTTAAACGGACATGGTGAATTTTAGCGCTAAACTTCGCATTAACACGTTTATCTGCCAAAAAAATTGAAATTTGTCTGTTTGGTTCAGATAACATAGCTTTGGAATTGAAACGCGATATTGGTAAATGACCAAAATACCATTTTTTGAAAATTTTGAAAACTGAAATCCAAGTATTGTGGTTCAGATATGTGGTGGTCGGTTGTGGTTCAGATTGAGTGGTAATCGGCGGTAGTTCAGATTGATGATTGATTGGCATTAGTTTAGATAAGTGGTGGTCTGCGGTGGTTCAGATAACGGTGGTTCAAATCCGTAGTGGTCGGTGATGGTCGACAATGATCGACGGTGTCAAATCAAGTAAGTAAGACGAAGATGATTTAATCCATTAAAAGTAGAAGTTACTACGCTAGGAAATGCATGTCATTAAAAGACCCCGTTCTATGAAACATATAAAAAAATCAACAATGACTAAAAAAAAATCTAAATTTTTATTAAATAATCAAATATTATAGAAGAAATCATTAAAAAATAACACTAAATAATTAAAGTTATTGAGTCCAATTGGAAAAACTAAGAATCCTCGAAGTAGAAGATCCAAAAGAAGACATTTTAGGTTTGAGTTTGAAAAATAAATATCAATTTTTCTAGAAAAACAATTATATAATTTAATTATCGTATTAATATAGAATTAGGAAAAAAAGTAATTAGAAAAATTATATACTTTAAGTCAACTTTACAAATAAAAATAAAAAATCATTAAAAATTTATATACTTCAATTTAAAGCGAAGAAAATGAAAAAGTAAAGAAGAAAAGCGAAAACACCAAAAAGAAAAATAGTTAGGGGTATTTAGGATTGTTTATTAATAACTTATGTTTTTTTTTTAAATGCTTATTAATTTATGTGGTATTAAATCGGAGTTTTGTAAAAAGTAATAATCTGATAAGTTGTTTTCAGTGTTTGACATATTTTGCTTATATATGCAAAATGATCAAAAAGGACAATCTTCCGTATTATTGACTTACAGGAGTGTTTGTGATTGCTTATTAACTTATTTGATTTTTTAACATATAAAAATTTATTTTTTATCATTTATAATAATATATTTGACAAAAATTTATACCATCGTCAACACCGAAATTCCCCTTTGTAAATCTTTTTATACATAACCATAACATTCTGATCATTAAATGGTAAATGACCAGCCATTAACACAAACAAAATCACCCCACAAGACCAAATATCAACCTTGGAGGCTTCATATCCTTTTCTTCCTAAAACCTCTGGTGCGACGTACGCCAGCGTCCTATAAAAGGTGTGAAACAAACCATCACCTCTGATTTGTTCAGAAATGGCACTAAGCCCAAAATCGGAGACCTTCAAGTTACCATCTTCATCTAGTAGTATGTTCTCAGGCTTCAAAGAGTTGGACGATGTTTAGGTGGCGGACACGACGGAGGATGGAGATCTCACGTTTAATATGAGAGATTAAACACCCTTTCAAGATCTGTCCCTTATCGATGACTTCAAGGGCGACAGATTCATTGGTTTTGGCGTTGCAAGCAAGGTAGACTTTGGAGAAGGTGCCATGGCCGAGAAGTTTCCCGATCTCGTAACGGCCAAGGAGGAGAAATTGGCCTTCTTTCCTTGTGGTGGTGGTGGGTGAGTTTGCTGCCATGGCGATGAAGTTGTTTAAGGGTTGGAGATTTACAAATTGAAACTGTGAATTGGGTTTTCCTTAAACATTTGGAATTTGGGGGTTTGCTTGTGATCTGGCTGGATGATGATGTTTGTGAGGTGCATAGAAACGGAGGGTTTGTTTGTGTTCGTGAAGATGAATATCTTGAGAAGAGATGTCGATCAAAGGGTGTTACATAAGGTTAAAATGGTAAACTGGTGATAAGTTGATTTTCATAAGTCAAGAAGGATTAACTTATCAAAAAACTGCTTATTACCGGTTTGGCACCGGTATAAGCAATTTTTTTTCTTACCCAAACACTAGAAAACAGTTTATCTCCGGTGCCACACTGAAATAAGTTAAAAAACAAATTTGATAAGCAATCACAAACACCCCCCTTAGTAGGCTTAAACTAAGGGAACGTTTTATTCGCAGATTTTGAAGAAATTTGATGGAATTGAAATGTTAAATTTCAATCACTAAATTACATTCTCTCTTTTGGTTCATTTTTTTTTTCATGAAATGAATCTTCAAAATTATACAAATTCCACAAACAAAGGAATTTAACATTTCTTAACAACTACATGATATTTTGATGAAATTAAATTTTCTATTTCCATAATATCACACATGCCCTTAACCAATATACTATAATATCATAAAACCCAATATGACTATCGTCGAGCACCTTCAACCACCATCTATCTGAATCACCACCGATAAGAACCACCACCGACCACCATTGATCTAAACCACAACCAATCACCGCCATCTGAAACACCATGGAATACCACGGATTTGAACCAATGTCGATCATCACCATCTGAACCACAACGGACCACCATCGATCTGAACCGCCGCCAACTACTATTGATTTGAATCACCCCCAGTCATTGTTGATCTGAACCACGCCCACCACCATCGATCTGAACCATCGCCTACCAACGATCTGATCCATCATTGATCTGAGTCACCGTTGATCCGAACCATATCCGACCACCGCCACCTGAAGCACCACAAACCACCACCGGTTTGAATCACTGGTGGACGCCACCGACCACCAACGATTTGAACAACCATCAGTCTGAACACCATCACCACCGCCAATCTGAACCACTGTCCATCTGAAACACCGCGGACCACCATCGATCTGAACCACTATCGATCAACATCATCTGAACCATTGTGAACCACCACCGATCTGAACCACCATTGCTTTAGTAACGTCGTTTGGCTTATGGTTATATTTGAGTTGTGTATTTTATATTGTTTTACATATTAAATAATTTTATTAAGGTATTTTGGTTTTAAAAAAATTAAAATTTTCAAAACAGACATTTTAGTCATTTATCAATATTTCATTCCAATTTCAAAGCTACATTCGGTGAACCAAACAGACAAACTATAATTCCTTAACAGATTTTGTTGATCCTCTCTCTCAGTAATTTGATGATAATCCCTTTTTCCTTCCACGTTGTATTTGTGTTTCTGTATTTTCAGTTCCAACGATCATCACTGAGTATGTTCAGTGATCGCTGAAGAACTTGCATTGTAAATTCATCAGAGACATCAATACTTCAAGAAGACAACACTCACACCAAAGAACCTTCAGTGAACGTCGAATACTGAAACTGAAGATTAGAGACCGGCGAGTACGTGATCTGAAGCGATATTCAGTGATTACAAGCCTGACTACATATGTGTGAATACTGCTCTAGCTTCAGCGAATGATGATGAGACTTCCAGGTCATTCCAGCATTCAGCGATCAAAGGAAGCTTGCTTAGCACGATTGTTGTTGTCTTGTCCTTATGCACACAAAGGACAAACCCATACCCTTGCAAAAGTTAGTACGGTACGGAGCCGATTAGTCGACTCTTTGTCCACCAACTTTAGGCAATGATGTTTGCTCAAAAATAGTGCTTTTGTACTATTCAATGTAGCAAAGGACAAGCCTTCTTCTTAAGGCTTGACACGCACTCTAAACCTACCATATTGCATTAAATATTCATTTAATGCACTGGGTATAAATAGAAGTGTTCTTCTCCATGCACAGTGCACGCATCTCTCTGTTATCCTATTCTTACTTCAAGCATCTTCTAGCTTAAGTAAACGATCTTCCCTTTAGCAATCTCTTTTCTTGTATTTGCTAAAGATCTGTGTGTATCCAAAGATTGTTTAGATAAGTTTTCTTTACCTTATCTTTCCGCAAACAGTCTTGTAAAATCTGTATTGATCTTCTCTATCAATATATATTTTATATTTTGAAAATACTGTGTTTGTATTCATCCCCACCCCCTTCTACAAACTGTTTCTATTCTTGTAGACCCTTACGGGACCAACAGATTTCATTCCAACGTGCGCCAACCAAACAGGTGGTTAAAGCTGACAACACTCCATTCCAATCCATTAAAGGTCAAATTCTTTTAACAGATTACATTCCATCAAAAAATGTTCTGTGAAGCAAACACCACCTAAGTTCTCTCTCTAGCTCTAATGCATCTACTACTACACTAAATATTGAGCTTGTTTGAATAACAACATTAAATTTTATATGAGCTTTATTGCAAATATTTTTCTAAATACTTGAAAGCCCTCGTGGTTGGAGGCCCTATGTGGCAGTGCCACCGGCACACTTGGTTGGGGTATATATATATATATATGGGTCCATTCAAGGAAGAACTGAATTGTTTGTGGTAACCATGAGATCCAATCTCAACCATACAAATTAATAATCAATGGTTAAAAATAAAAGAAAAATTAATTACTGAAATTCCAAAAATAACTCTCCAATATTTAATGTGAGTATGTAAATAAGAGCAAAAGGGTCAAAAATTTTAATTTAATGAGAATATTTTGAGCGCCCTAGAAATCCGTTAATCTTCTAAAATTACATTTCATCAAATCAAAAAAAAAAAAAACACAGAATATCCTGTTGGTTGTGCGAGAAGAGGTGGAAAACAATTTGTAAGCTTTGGTTGAACATGTTGTGTTACATTGTGGTAAAAAAGATTGTGGTTTTATGTGTTACCCAAAAGATTGTAGTTTCAATAGAGATGTGAAGTTGCTGCATAAACACAAGAAAGTAATCCAGTCAATGAGCATTCAACTACACTTTGTGTAATATCTCAATCACATAGTATCAAACTATACAAGGCA